AGAGAAATCCAAATCAATATTTGGTGTGACCACCCTTTGCCTTCAAAACAGCATCAATTCTGTGTACACTTGCACACAGTTTTTGAAGGAACTCGCAGGTAGGTTGTTCCAAACATCTTGGAGAACTAACGACAGATCTCCTGTGGATGCCTCAAATCCTTCTGTCTCTTCATGTAATCCCAGACAGACTCAATGATGCTGAGATGGTAAGGTTCACTGCATTCGGCTCTGAACAGAAACCTCGTGAGGCACAGGCTCAGACGAAAGCTAGTTTATTCAGGCATAATGAAGCTAGTTTATTCAGGCATAATGCGAGCGGTTACAGACAAAGCCAGGGTTGGCTTGGCATGTTTTCTTACAATTGTTTTATAGGGTTCCCCCCTTGACCCATCATTACCCCTTGGTTCCACCCCTTGCCCTTCCCCTGGGCACCCATCTGTCCCTTGATGGCAAATTCAGCCGGTTTCTGTTCTGTTATCTTCCTTTGTCTGTTTGTCCCTTGCATTCCTTCAGCTTTTCTCATGTTGAGTTGGAGTGGCTGTTTTAATCTGGTTTTGAATTGGCCACTGATTGCCTCTGGATTGCTGTGCTCCCGGTGTATTGTCAGACGGAGTTACCCGGGGTGCCTGGGGGGCTGGCTGCTTCTAATTAACTCCCTGCCACTTCTAATTAACTATGCCCCCTGTCCATAGTTAACTTGCAGTTACATTGTTTCCTTGCCCTGATCACCTATTGCCTGAGGTGGTGAAACTGACCAGCGGCTCTGGGCTAGCAGTGTGTGCTTTCTAGGCTGAATCTGACAGAGATCAGGGCTCTGTGGGGGCCTAACCATCACTTCCAGGACGCCTTGCTTGTTCTTTACACTGAAGATAGTTCTTAATGACATTGTCTGTATGTTTGGGGTCGGTGTCCTGTTGCAGAATAAATTTGGGGCAAATCACATGCCTCCCTGATGGTTGTTGTAGTTTAGTCGTTAAGTCGTGTCCGACTCTTCGTGACCCCATGAACCATATTGCGCCAGGCC